TATAATATGTGAATGTTGGCCCGTGTCACATCCATCCTAAGTTTGATCCGTTCTCGTTTCCACACAGTCCCCAAGTTTTGAGCGATCATACAGACAGACGTACACACAGAGACACATACAACTTCTGGTTTATATCGGAAGGCGCGTTGGTTTCGGCCATAACGCCCATTCCATACGTAGACCGTAGAAATAGATAGGAAGTACAGAATATCAATATGTGTTGCACAGTAGATGAACAAATTCCGTTTTTATTACCTGCATCACAACACCAACGATGGGCGATTAACTTGCCATTAACATGCAATCCACCTGCTAAGGTTGCATGAATGACTGCAGATGCCAATATTTGGGCTGCGTTCGTTGATAAAAGCAAAAAATAGTCAAATAGTCACCGAAGGCACAAAGTGTGATCCAATATTCAGGTTTTTGATTTTTCCCAAACTTCCTGTTCCAGTGCTATCAGAGAAGTGATGGCTGGAGGAAAATTTCGCTTACTGAGAGGCTTTTTTGGCAGTGTAGTGGTCAGAGATGTCGTGAGAATGTCCCCTTATCTTTACTTATCAATTGATAAAATTGCTTGTCACCCGTCATCAATGTCGCTATCACTAAAACTCCATAATTTCGTGGTGTAGAGGCTCCAGCATTTGATTGAACAACAACTGCATCGTTCTCTATCAGGCCCTATCAGCTGTTATCATTTCCTGTCACCCGCCGTCGCCTTCTCCACCTTCCCCTTGATATCATTTGCTGAAATCAACGCCTAACTGATGCTGTGTCCCGCGTTATGAGTATGTTGTCCTTTCCACTCTAACTCCCCTTATCAAATCTTATCAGCAGCTAGCAGTTCTTGTCACCCACATATTCCTGTGCCATAACCTATACCTTGGAACAAACGCCCCAGTGTTCCAGTCGGACCCCCCCCCCCGCATCTGCTTCCTTCCATTGCCCAGGCTCAGATCCGGCTGAGCGCGCGCAGCACGCGCAGGGCTGGAGCCGGGGGGGGGGCCGAGGCAGCTGGACGTGTGCTCCCCGCACAATTATAGAATAGAAGGATAGATCCTCGCTAGGTTGCGACCTTGGAATGTGTCTTCAAGTCTCGTTTAAGCTTAGATAAAGTAATGTTACACATACATTTAGTGTTGGGTCCAATTGTTCAACAACTTTTTCGTTTACTTTGTAACACTTATGATTTTTCCTGCCATGATGACCGAAACTCCATATTACCAGGAGCCCGGTGAACCGTGGGGATCTGTTTTTCCAGGTGAGATGTTTCTCCATTACATTTTGTGCTGACATAAGTAACTCTCAGACAATACGTTGCACTCAAGTTCCTTTTGCGGCACTATTGAGCTATTCCTATCCCAGCCTTCGGAAACCAGGCCAGTTTTTACCGAGATTTTTTTCTACGAGGGCAGGTTTGGCTGAAAACTGGTCCAGAGATGTAGTTCGACCTCCTAAACACGAATATCCGATCAGCTTTGCCCGAGAATGCGTGGCGCCGTCGCCACACGCGAGGGCGTCAAAATATTTTAAACCACGAGATTTACTGAACATTTGTCCCTGAAGGTGGTTCCACCTCCCGTCATGCACCTCATATCCGTTCAGCCCGAAACCGCCTCGCGACCACGCCCCGGCGCCAAAATACTCTCGATCATCAAAATCTATGAAGACGTATATACGGTGTATTTTTGACATCGCGCGATTGTGGATATGACATTTTATCTATTAACTCCGGCGCTGATGGAGGAAACACACATACGAGTATCTGCGCTTCTGCTAAGGCTGACCCTGCCCTGAAGGAAACCATTCCTTTCCCCAGGTTCAGCCTCAACAGAGAGCTAAATGGCGCTGGTGTTCGAAAAATAAATGTCACTTTTGTGATGGCAGACCTACTACTCTAGTTTTTACCGATTGAGTAGACTAGGTAGTTGCGCCTACTTGGTCTAATGGCCCGCGAATGGTGCCAGAGTTGAACGTGAATGCCATATTCGTGACAAGAGCTCCGAATTACCACTATGGTCTATATTTCAGCAAAAAAATTCCACTTTTTGGGATAAGAATAGTTCAATAGTGCCCGTTTTAGCACTGTGTTTTCATTAGTTTTATTTTAAGTTGTGGTGTGCTAATCAACAAGGAAACGACTGCCGATACTAAAAGTGAGGTTAAACGAACGGGAGCCGGTTTTGGGAGAATCGGCGTAGCGACGATTGATACCTAGACTTTTCATTCCGCTCAGAACGCCAATACGCTCAAAATGCTTATCTTCCCAAGCACGAGGAGTCGCAAAGTATATGACGCACTGCTCTTTGGAGAGATGGCGCCTGCCTGTGGTAGCACTCAAACTTTGAAAACATCGAAAACTCGGCAGAATAGCGAAGCTGTAGAATATAAAGCGAAGCGATTGCGGACGAAGCGGCGCGCGATTCAGCATGGCGATACGTCGAGTACATTACAGTCGTGGATTCCCTTAGACACGCCATCCGTAATTGCGTACTTCACTGGGACGCGACGGCGGCTGCAGTAGGAGTGGCGATCGATGCTGCATGATCACCTGATTTCAGCGATTAATTTTTCTATTTTGCCTGTTATTCTGCTAACTAGAAGGAAAAGTGAGTTCATATTATTTACTCTAATTTGAGGTTTTATTGTATATTTTGCTTTCAGTCGCTATTTGACTGCAGTGACGGTGTTTTTACCCACTTTTTGATTTTGTTTAGGTTTTTTTGTTTGTGCTTTGAATGTTGGACTGTTCTCATGCAAGATGTTCGTTATGTGTCCTCATTAGTACAAAAAAAACCTAAACAAAATCAAAAAGTGGGTAAAAACACCGTCACTGCAGTCAAATAGCGACTGAAAGCAAAATATACAATAAAACCTCAAATTAGAGTAAATAATATGAACTCACTTTTCCTTCTAGTTAGCAGAATAACAGGCAAAATAGAAAAATTAATCGCTGAAATCAGCTGATCATGCAGCACTGATCGCCACTCCTACTGCAGCCGCCGTCGCGTCCCAGTGAAGTACGCAATTACGGATGACCAGTCTGAGGGATCACGACTGTACGTGCACCGCCGCACCTAACGTAGCATTTATTGGCAACATGGTCTAAGGGAAATCCGTGCTTTTGAGTCAAATCAGAACGAAGCTTCTCTCCGCAATATTTTGATTATTTACTTCGATTTTTTCGCCATTTTCTCAGTACATAGCGCCCTGCTAGAATTTTTTAATCGTGTACCAAGTTATCGTGTCAACTGCCTCTGAGGGAAAGTGTTAAGGAGATCTTTTCGGGAACACTCTTCATAAGCTCCTAGCGAGTAGTGGGGTGAGGCGGTGCGGAGCTAGTGAAACGAGATTCATGCTATTCATAAATTAATTCTTCACTCCAGTGAACACCGAAGTATGTATTTGTTTTCCGAAATATTGTTCTTCTTTGAGACAGAGCGAAATTGAAAGTTATATATTACAGCATAGGAAACGGAAGTGAACAAATATTCCTTCGCTGCTTTTATTGTTCCACGTTCCGCTGTATACCTAACAACCATTAACTAGCCGGTTTGGGGCCCACACCTGAAAGAATTGACAACAATTATTCATTTCAGAGAGAATCTCTACTTTGCCATCAATACATTCCTCAATTTCAATGTTTTTGCTTCGATTGGGTCCTTGTCGGCCAACTATATTCAACAAGTATGTCCATGGTCAATAGAAAGGTTTTGATTATTCATGAACATATTTTCAGCCAAAACCACGATTTCTCTGGATCCCAGTTGTACTAAGGGTTTTCTTCATTCCCTTTTTCATGTTTTGCAACTATCAACCGACTGGAAAAATCAGAAACCGTTTGACCGGTTGGTTGCGTATCGACAAGCTTATCGTTCTTACTTGATGAATCAATGCTTGAATCTTTCAGGTAGTTTTCAAAAATGAGTGGTGGTTCACCATTGCTGGCTCAATAATGGCTTACACATGCGGTTACTTCAGCAGTTTGGCACTCATATACACGCCAAGGTAGAACCTTTGTCAGTGGTTTCGAAAGAGGCCTGGACGTGGTCTCTGCGAAAAGTAGATGACCGAGTCACTACTTATTAGGTTGTCCGGAAAGTTCTTAGCGTTTTGTGCACCTAATCTTTGTACATTCACTGCTGATTAAAAACTCATTCTGCCTTGCTTCTCAGTAGCACATCCTGTAGAATTTCTTGCGCTATCTGATGGTATAATTGCCGTTTCACCATTGCTTGATAAACCCTCTTTTTCAAGATTTTTTCAAGCATGTGAAAAGAGCACTTCGGACGATTTTTTTCTTCGACTATAAATTGGGGCAATCCGCAATCGAAACAGCTCAACAAATTAACCAGGTGTGGGGCCCATAGTGTTTTAAGAAAGCCTATGTTGTGCGGCAATGGCTCAATAAATTTCGCTCTGGAGATTTCAGCCTTGAAGGTGAGCCTCATAGCGGTCGACCTAAAGCAATATCTGACGAGGATTTTAGGGGGATTTTGAAGGTTGACCCATCCCAAACAGTTCGAGAGATAGCAGAAGAGCTAGGCCTTGGCAAATCCACTGTTGCAGATGGTCTGGAACGCATTGGGAAGGTGAAAAAACTCGACAATTGGGTGCCCCACAATCGGAGTGACCGGCAGGAATCGGCACGTCTCGAGGTTCCTTCTTCACTGCTTTTGCGCAAAAGAATTGACCCGTTTTTGAACGGATTTGTCACCTGTGATGAAAAATGGATCATGTATGATAACAGGAGACGTTCCGGACAGTGGTTGGATTTGGAGGAACCACCGAGGTAATTTTCAAAGCCGAACCCTCGCGAAAAAAAATTCTGGTCAGGTTTGGTGGTCATCGGCTGTTGTAATCCACTATAACTTTTCATCACCAGGCCAAACCATCACAGCAGAACCCTACTGTGAACAAACCGACCAAATGTACCGAAAATATTGTCAGCTGCAGCCAACACTTATCAAAAGAAAGGGTCCGATTCTTTTGCATGACAACGCCCGCCCACACGTTTCACAAATCACTATCCATAAATTGAACGAATTGGGAGTTGAAGTTCTACCTCACCCACCATATTCTCTAGACCTTTCACCAACCGACTGTCACCTTTTCAGACATTTTCAGAACTTCCTTGCTGAAAAATACTTCATCAATTAAGACCAGGCAAAAAAGACCTTCGCAGATTTCGTGGATTCTCGACCACCCAGTTTTTCTTTGATGGGATTTCTCGACTGCTGCCACATTGGCAAAAGTGTGCTGATTCGAATGGTGCTTATTTGGATTAAATCCGATGAGTGTTAAGAAAGTTATGATCGTTTAAAGTTGAAAAACACCCAAAACGCTTAAGATACTTTCCGGGGACAACCTATAAAATGCAAAGTTGCAACTGCAAGTTCAAAAAAATGCAATGCATTTATTCAAATGCACACTCAAAATGCAATTTGCATTGCCGGAAACTTTCCTGGGACAAGCCCAGCAGATTCACGCAGCACAGCATGAGCGTTCTACCGATTTTCCACCACTGCCAACTTTGCCACTGTGCGAACAATTCTAACTTCCTGGTAGAAACCGGTAATTTATGTGACGGTGCACATGAAGAAAAGATTGCATATATTGCTATCGGTACATGACGATGCGGTCTCTCTCAAAATCGTACTCCTGATTTTCAATCAATTGAGTTCCATCATTCTGCGAACTTCACCATCGCTATCCGCTGTAGGCATGCTGTCAGCTTCAAGCATCAGCTGCCAGGGGAGACGGACTTATCCTAACAAGTCATAGTCAGATGTGCACACAGAACCAGTAGACGATACGATAGCACTGATTGATGAAGACTCCTTTAATCTAAAATTACAGTAGCTCCAGAATGTCTTAGCGTTCTCAGAGGAAGCTTTGCGCTCCTCATGCTTGAGTTTAAGCTTTGCTAAATTCTTTTTAAGTAAGCGGGACAAATAGAGGTATTGTGGATTGTGCAGTAATTACCATTCAAACAACCGTTCAACTCAAGCTTCAACATTTTGTAGATAAGGGGGCACGTGGAAGTCTTCCTTAGTTTTACGACCGCGCGGAACGAACTGGCATATAAGAGAGTGGCAGAAGCTGGTAAAGAATAAATAACATTCGTCGATAGATCCCATGGAGCTAAAGATATTTTGCTAGTCTATAGCGAGAAGGTGACGACGTATGGAACCATAATCCCCTTTAGCGAAATTCAGTATAGGCTTAGAGACAGGTTGGGAATGAATGGTCGATAGAGTAAAGGTCACCGTAGCATGGTCTGATGTGGAGAAGGGAGCCTGTACTGATGTACTGCCAATGATGTGAGGACTATTCGTCAAAACAAGGTCCAAAATGTTACGGCCATGGGTGGGTTCAAGAACTGTTTGCGTGAAGCTGTGAGATTCAACGAAGTTTATGAAAAGGGAACCTTGTCTACTGAGGCGGCTTTTGCTCAGACTCTGCGATAAGCGAGACCATTGGATCAAAGAAATTGAAATCGCCCAGGATAACCACCGGCACTTTATTTAGGCATAGTTCTTCAACATAGAGAAGAAGTTTTTGAAAATCGACAGCTGAGCAAGACCGACTTCGGTAGCAAAGAATGAATATACAGTCATTGCTGAAAAGGGATATTCGTAAGACAATACACTGAAGATAGACCGAAAAACAAATGGATGATATCAGCGAGGAAGATATATCGTCCCTGATCATGGCTAATACACCACCCCCCGGAGTATCCCCATCTCTATCGCAACGATACACAATGTAGGGGGTGCTCAGCTTGAGGCTGTTACTATTACCAATCTTGAAGGGCTTACACCATATTTCTGTAACAAACAAACCACAAGGATTCTGCGAGAGGAGGTAGCAAGGTCAGGGAAATTGTTGTTGATGGATCTCGCATTGAAAAGAACAAATTCACCAGGGAGGGCGTCGTGAACCAGGCTGAGTAGATGCATCTAGTCTGTCGCCTGTGGAGTATCCACCAGAGATGCTTCTATTGGTCCTAAGAGGGTACCAGATGTAGTCCTCGGTGCATTTCTGTAGGAGTGGATTAGGATAGCTTCAATGGAAAGCTCCTTCGGAGGTCTTCCAGTTTGCAATAATGCGGAGGATCACGGTACTAGCATTACTGGAGCAATTCCGAGCTTTGACGTTCACATCCCTGCTTGCTTTCGTAAAGTACGATCGAGCTCCAGCTCCTCTGAAGTATAATCTCTGCGGGCATACGAATGCACGAATCGCCTGGTCAGACTCTGACGTCCTGACCGCATGTGGTGCAGTAGTTTGTCCCGTAGAGCCTGTGAGGGTAACTCGATCTTGATGATACGATCACGGCCGTTCGCACTTTTCATCCTCTCAGGTGGTAGCGTTGGCCGGTTATGCCTCCTTTGGAGAGCTCCTCTATGAGCCATTCATCACCTGAAGAGAAAATCACTTCTCTCAAAGCCTCAATCTCCTCGTCGCAGTCTCGTTTCCCTGCACCCCTATACCGATCCAGGTACTAGGTTTCAGTTTATCACCTATTCGTCCATGTGTGTGTGTGTGCTGTGTGTGTGTGCGTTGCTCTCCCTGTTTGTCACGAAATTCATAGCCCCGGTCCCAGTAGCAGTGAGACATTGGTTGTATGCAGTGATGTAGGGGGTGTGACGGGAACACTATTGGTGGGTGACAGGAAGTGATATCAGTTGATAAGATTCGATAAGGGGCGTTAGAAGGAGAAGGTCACCATATTCATAACGCGGGTGACAGCATCAGCTAGCTCTTGATTCCAAGATATGATATAGGGTATGGGCCAAGAACATCATTAGTGGGTCACAAAAACTGCAAGCTGCTGATAAGATTCGATAAGGGGCGTTAGAAGGAGAAGGTGACCATATCCATAATGCGAATGATAGCATCAGGTAACTCTTGATTCCAAGATATGATAAAGAGTATGGGCCAAGAGAGCTATTTATTGTGCAGAAGGTGAATGACAAGAAGTTAAGCTTGCTGAGAAGATTCGCATAAGGGGCGTTAGAATGGTGAGGTCTTCGTATTCACAGCGCAGGTCACAGCATCAGCGAGACGTACGTCTCAGCAAGTGATATAGAGGGTGAGATGGGGACATGAATCGTGGGTGACTGGAAGCGATAACTACTGATAGAGACTGATAAGTGAAGTTGCAGTCGTCGTCGCTGTTCAAGGTGGTTCACGCTGCCAAATCATAGAGATTTCCCAAGCATTTCTGCAGGACGTACCAGTTTCGCTCGAATATGCATGAGGAAGCCGCGACCCGACACCGAACCATGGCTCCACCCACCGGCCACGCCCACACTCGAGTTTCATTTTCAGCTGCATCTTGATGATGCGGTTATTCTGCATCTAACTCTTTAAGTTTTGAATGATAAGAGCGAGAGGTGACAGAAGAAAAAGCTGGTACGAATAAGCGAGAACTTGTCACACGCTCTACCTGCCGTTTTATGCGTTGTAAAAAGCTCGGTTCGGCACAGGATTTAATACAGGGCATTTCAGGCCGGTTCCCTCTGCATTTTCCCCTGCTGAATCACTAACTATCTTGTCATCAGTGATTTGTCGCACTACTTTTTTGATCATAGGGGTGTGTCTTTATGGGAGAAGTAGGAGTCTCTTCATGGATTACCCTTAGAATTGTTCGTTTCCTAAGGCTAATCATCAAATAGTGCGAAATGCTTGTGAAAAATGACGATTTCGCGACGGAAGTTTGGATGAGTAGATATGTTACCTTCGGTGATGACTCATACTAGGGAAATTCCCAGTTTGCTTATTGTTTT